ATTTCAATTTTTAGTCTTGTTGTTAGTATCAGTGGATGCGCAATAATTTTCTCTTTCCAATGATACCATTACCTTTTCTGTAGAATAAGTTGGCGAGCAGAAATCCGCAAAAACGTTCAACTCCATGTTAAATCCCTATGTTCGAGTTTGAGAACGGACACACGGTATATCTCGATCATGTCAATGTTTAAATATAAATCAATTTTTAGCGAGAGAAAAGGGGATCAACTCGTAGTCATGGTAGTATCAAAACAGACTTCTGCAGAAAATGTCGGAGCTATGTTAGATGATTATCAAACAAATGTAGTAATTACAATTCGATTGTATCGAAAACCAGTATGTAATCCAACGTTATACAAAGCAGTCGTCGAAAATAGAAATTACCTTTCAAGTCTGGTTGTAAGGGTCATTTAAGCTCACAAGGACCTTATCTGTAACAGATAATAACACAAACAAGAGAGATAGTGAATAGCGCGGCACAAAGTATTGCGGTAGAAATTTCTAACGTGTGACACTAGGGTAAATCGTATACTAAAACCGTAAGTAATACTCAATAAGAACCAATAATGCGAATGACTTTACACTAGCAAAAGTAAAATTTTGATTGACAACGAATTGTCCGTACAAATCGGTGTATAAACGCATGAACGTGACGTCGACTTTAAGAAAACTACTTTATCTTTACTTCTGACGGACCTTGATAGGCTATCATTTATGTATATCAATTAAGTGTTTGCGTCATTTTCTTTTGTAGCGTCCAGCAATTCCAACGACGATGGCATGAGAACACCATATTTTTCTACACATGTAGCCCTCTGAGGTATTCTCTTTGTTAGGTTTGTCTTTAACCCGATTTGGACAGTATGAAAATAGGGGTAGAGAATTCTATTCCTTGTAGAATAATTAGTTAATTGCAACTACGGGCATAACATTTTAATGATTGTAACTATTGTGCCTATGGAGTACTCATGGGTACTCAATATTAATTCATTCTTGTTTAACGAAGCGCGCAGCATAACACATCGACTGGCATTTGCTTATTGTCCAAGTATCGGCGAAGACATTATGAGATATGCCTTTGGAAGCGACTAATTTGCACTTATCTAAAATTTGAATTAAGCGAAAGATTTCCACGGATAAGTACCACTTACACCGCTTCATCATATTTTTAAGACCTCCAAGTGTAATCAATTTACTCCAATCGGAAGTACCCACAGGTGTACAACCCAACCATTCGGATAAGATTATCAACACAAACCAGGCCATCCATGTTTGACTAAATCCACTTATGAGTATTGAACCACCTGGTTTTAGGCAG